GCTGACCGCCAAGGCTGCGGTGCGACACGCGTACTCCCGTATTCTGTATTCGGCGCGCGGCCGGCCTCGGCGGCGCCGCGCCGTTGTGTGAGGCGCGACGCCGGGGCCGCACCGGGCCGGGGGCGCAGGTCACTCGGGCCCCCGTGGCGCCGCCGGGCAGAGCTAGAGCGGCTGGCTGGCTGATCCGCTCTGCACCCTGATCTGGACAGGCTGACCTGGGCAGGCTGACCTAGACAGGCTGACCTGGACAGGCTGACCTCGGCAAGCTGACTGCGACAGGCTGACCTGAAGCAGACTGACCTGGACAGGCTGACCACGATAGGCTGACATGGTCAGGCTGACTACGACAGACTGACCTGGACAGGTTAACCTGGACAGGCTGACTACGACAGACTGACCTGGACAGGCTGACCTGGACAGGCTGACCTGGGCGTGCTGCCATCAGTGCGCCGGTGCGCCGTCCTGGTGCTGACCAGGCGGCGGTTACGGCCGGCCGCCAGCGGATGAGATGTGACCCATAGGTGGAGCAGCAGACAACGTGCTTTCCAGAAGACCTACCTCCGGGCGGCAGTCCCGTTGTGTCTATGACAGGCTGAATCGGGTCCAGTGTCTGGTGGGTAAGGTGGACGCTATATGCTTTTCTGTATTCTTACTTTTATTCCGCCTGGTTCCTCTTAGGAAAGATAAAGTGTTATATCTGGTGGCATTATAACCAATCAGAGCCGAGCTGGATTTAAACGGACCCTGTTTGATTTTTCGGGGAAAATAAGTTCACCCGTCCAGTGAACTGTACTGGATAGCGGCAGGCTGCCACTTGCGGAATATGGTACATTAGAGTCATCATTTTGTGAGAAATGACATAATTTCTATTCATTATTTGCCGTAACGGCACTTCCAGCGACTGGGTGCCAAGCATCTGCACGGCACACGCAGACGCCAGCGATACTCGTGACTCGCCGGATGGCGACTTCGAAATCTACAGAAAGCATGCCATGTGTAACCTTGTGAGTGACCCATGTAGCGATAGAAATAGCAAGAACAAGACGCAAGTTCGAAGGAAATGTTGGATACCATGCCCCTACCGATTGCTAAGGTGCATGTCCTTGCTGTTCTTCTGTACTGGCGATAGGAGGCGTTTCTCCGTCATTTTCCAGCGGCATTCGAACCTTATGACATTGGCCCACATTTGACGAAGGCGTTCCTTGAAGGAACGCATAGCCGGGGAGCATGCCCGTCCGAACAATACCGCGAAAAAGACCAGACAGAATCGAGTTCAGACCATTCACCATGTAGAAAGGAAGGTGAGCCGTGGATGAGGGGAGAGCACGGAAATGTCACATCGAACGAGACCTGTGCCAGTTACCCATGACCTCTGGATACAATGGGGGTGATTCCCATCAACTCAGCAGAATGGTGGCCACGTAGTTAATTCATTCACTGCCGCGGCCTTGACTGTGAATCATGGCCATCCATCGGCCCTCGCAGAGAATGAGGTCACCGCGGCTGCATCAGGGTTTCCGCTTCAGCGATCCCATTGCATGACAACGTGCAATGTTGCAGTCGAAAGTTGATGAGTTTCACGCTCTTGTTTTCCACTGTTCAAAACACAACGCTTCGGGTAACAGACGCCTGTTTGTTGCGCGGCGGAGGCACGTGAGTGGTCAAGGCCGTGGCGGATGTAAAACCAGCCCTTAGTCCTCGGCGTACTGCGGAGCTGAACCGTTGCGGGCTCCGACGTCGCCTAAAAATGAGCAACAGAGACACGGCAATGGCCCCATTCCGGTGCTGAAAAGCTTCCATCCATTATTTGTCTGGTGTACGGACAATGAGCATTTGTCGCGCGAATCCTACCATACACGTCCAGCAACGAAGCGAGTGACACACCGGTGGTGTGGGTTACGACTGCCATAGCAATGCTAAAACGGAGCAGTATCCCTTCAGTGACATCGAAAACCATCAGCAATCTCTAGCCAGTGGCCTAAAATTTTATCTGAGCCTTAAAAGCAGTGTTTCACATTTGTATGGGGCTTTGAACTGAAGTGGCCATCTTGTAGAGCACTCGATGCAATTCACAGCCCTGTCCTTCTTAAGACCTAAACCCGTCTAGTTTCTGAGCTACACGTCGGTGAAAATGTGCAGACCATTTCGTGCAAACTACTCCAAGATTACCCAGGCATCCCTGACAACACAATACCATTCAAATTATGACATTTCATTGGTCATGCGAAGATTAAGGCCAAGAAACAGAGATAAGGCAGTAGTAATAGCCTTATTCTTCGGAGAAAAACCAACAGATATAGATGCGTTGATATTTCGGCAGCGTAGTTTTATCGAAACAATAGAACAAACAATAGAAAAAACAAGCTATTGTCCAGTCGTTCAAATCTGGCGTTTGTGAGCACGATTTCCAGATATAACGGCCATCGGTTGGCTTACCATTAATGTTGTGCACGGTACGATGACGCAATCAAACAATGTCGTACTGACGAGCATCTTTAATAATTAGAGACATTAGGTCGTCAAAAGCAGTTTTTCCCTCAAAGTATGTAAATAGTTATTTGAGAGCTTTTTATAACTTAGGATGCTTGCCTCGATATCTTCAGATTGCCGTCAATTTCCCTTGATACCCGCATGACCCCAGCGTGCAAGCACAGGCCGAACACCCGCCACACAGCCGTCGTGACAAGCACGCCTCGCTGTTGCCTGTTGTCGGCGCCCGCCGCCTGCACACAGTCGTGACGTAACATAACGTGACACGGCCGGACGCGACGCTGGTGATTACAGAGCGGTGATGTCACGTGTGGGCCCGCGCAGGGGTCACAACAACGGCCCCCCGCCGAGGGTGGGGCCGGGACACCACGCACGGAGATCCATCCATCCATCTCTCTCTCTCTCTCTCTCTCTCTCCTCTCTCTCTCTCTCTTCTCTTCTTCTCTCTCCTTCTCTCTCTATCTCTCTCTATCTCTCCTCCTCTCTCTCTCTCTCTCTCCTCTCTCTCTCCTCTCTCTCTTCTCTCTCTCTCTCTCTCTCTCTCTCTCTCTCTCTCTCTCTATCTCCTCTCTCTCTCTCTCTCTCTCTCTCTCTCTCTCTCTCTCTCTCTCTCTCTCTCTCTCTCTCTCTCTCTCTCTCGCTTCAAGCTTTACAATTACCATGGAGTCAGTAAAACCAAGCTAGATACTCACTCGGTGCTAAGCCTGTTACCTTGTTTAAGCTTATTGTATTCATTGACATGCATGCAACCAAGACCACTGGTTTCAGAGAAAATGCTCGCCGGTTTTTCCCTAGGAATATGAGTATTTGGTAAGATTCAAGCACAGGCTTGCGGCATCATGTTTAAGACCTATCCATTATTTTCACCGATGTACCCGCAGGCAGGTAATGGCGATGATAGAACGTAGCAAATACCACTGTGCCTGATCCTGATATTAAGACCACCACTGATGGCTGTTCACTAGCCTGACATCTGAAGTGTGGCGGCCATGCGAGCGATGCAAATGGTGACACGCATCGGTGTTATCGGGGGGGGGGGGCATTCCTCTGCGCGTACTTGTAGAGCCATCCTATGTTTGGTGATGACACCATCGATGACACCGGCTGGATGCGGACGCACAGTACCTGCTGCGATGGTGGTGAAAGAACTGCCACTCACTGGACACACTTAGAGAAATCTCAAATCACACGGGAGAACAGGGACGCAGTTTCGCAAAATGAGTAAGACGGCTGAAACAGTACAAAAATTACCTAACCTGCCCCAAAATATGCCAACAAACAGGTAAAAATGGGGGGGGGGAGGGCTAAGGCCCTGCTCCCCCTACAACTGAATTGGGAGCCGCATTACTGCTGGAAAGCATGGCACGCGTCTTGGACCGGTCAGCTGCTGTTCTGCTGCTGTACCGATCAGTGTGTCAACAAATACCTATGCATGACTCCAGTACAATGCACAAGCTGGTATTTGTTCTTGCTTCGCTGAATGTTTTTAACGATGCAATACACGATAATGTTTGGAAAGCACTCCATAATATAATTGTGGTAACGGAGAGGACGCTTCAATGCCAAAGGCGTTCCTTCCGGTGCAGGCGCGTGCGGATGACCCGTGTAAGTGCAGCCCACAGCACCAGATGAATGTTCCACTCCGCTTCAGCTCTGACCCGCCGGCGATGACAAACAGGGAACGGTGAACGGAACGACCAGCGGAGCCTGACACTAGAGGGCAGGTAGGTGAGTTTTCGGTTTCGGGCCCGCTTCGTTCCGAGTTGTCTTCACTTGGCGAGAATCATCATACAGTAGTGCTAGGCCGGTCAAAATACCAGCACACGTCGAGTATAAGATGTTGCGGAAGAGATCTGCTATTTGTTCCATTCCTTCTAAGTTGGATGGAGTTTCAATAAAAATGAACTTTTGGAATGAAAACCAGAAGAAGTTGAAAGCTGAGCAAATGACGTGCTGCACAGGTGAAGAAATAGGTCATGTTCTTCTGCTTGTTTGTTTTTATTTCCACACTTTGAGGCTTCATTATATGCTTTAATTAACGTAAATTCAAACAAATTGTATGTTGGCAAACATTCAGGCATGCCCAAAGAGTTAGCGAAGACGGGCTACGTGGCAGGGATTACAAAGATAGCGGGTATAATCGGGAGCACCAACTACTGTACGCCTAGGACACACCACTCGGCTTCTGCTGAAATAGCCTCGAGGTTTGGCGGCGTTTGTCCACGGCGACGCCGTACCGTACCTCTGGATACCGATTCCCCAACAGAGTTGCAATGAGGCAAGAAGCAGCTCGTGGAGATGTCACATTCAATCACCATATTGTGTTTCCGTCCCGCAGGCTGACAGCGAGACATTACGTAAATGCCGTGTCCGCCTGCTCGGCCTGCTGGCCGGTGAAGCCAGCGAGCAGGGATGACCAGCGAGCGGTCTGGCCGGTGGAGCCAGCGAGCAGATATGACCAGTAGGCAGTCTGGCCGGTGCGCTGCCCGGCCGAGCGGCACGTCACTCACCTGAGCCGGCGACAGCGGCTCCGGCTCCTCTTCGTTCTCCTCGATCAGGTCTGCGAGATGGCCGGAGCCGCCCGAGCCGCCGCTGCCGACGCTGGCCAGGCTGTCTCGACGGCCGCTCTCCAGCGAGTCGAGCGAGCAGCGGCGAACGGCCGAGTCGCGCCGACTCGAGCCCGGCTCACGGAGGCTCACCGGCGTGGAGTCGCGCCGCGCACCAAACGAGCCCTTGCGCGCGGCCGCGCTGCTGTTGTGGATGGCCGCCGTGGAAATCCGGCCGGTGTTGAGTGAGGCCCGGCGGATCTCGTGCGGCCCGTGGCGCACGTCCTGGGAGGCCCGGCGCACGTCCTGCGAGGCCCGGCGCACGTCTTGTGAGGTTCGGCGCACGTCCTGAGAGGTCCGGCGCACGTCCACGGAGTTCTTGCGGCTTTGGGGGCACGATCCGTCGTGGATCTCCCTTTCCGGCGTTCTGCGGATGTTCGGATGCTGTTCGCGGATGTGGGTCTCCATGTTGGATATCTTGACGTCCCTGAAGAGGTCCTCGAGCCGGTCCATCACCTGTTTGTTCAGCTCGTCCGAGTCCGTCATGGTTGTCGCGTGCTTGTCGCGTGCGCTTCTGGGGTACGCTCACGCACCTGTCCGGCGGAGACCCGCCTGCCAAGCTTCGTCACGTGACGACAGGGACGAGCCGCCGCAGCAATCCGACACTCAGTCGGCCCGGTTGGCCGCTAGCCGCAGCTTCCTCGGTCCAGCGTGGCGCGCGGCACACAGCGCTCTGTCCCAGAGCCGGCGCGCTGTCGCTCTGCGGCCCCGCTCCGTCGACCCGGTAAAAAGAGCCGCTCCTCTCCGGGCGGAGGTCGGCCGCCGCCCCGCCGCAGGTGACGTCACCGCCGGTGTGACGTCACACGGCCCGCAGGGCGGACGCCGTCACACCCGCTGAGGCGGAGGTCCTGGATGGATCGGAGCAGGCTCGTTGGCCCAGAGCAAGTCAAGAGTTCGGCAGTGTCCGCCGAGTGTTAAGTGTGCCAACCCCAGCAGGGAACAACAGACCGTTAGCCCCATGAAGCATGCTCCTCGCTGCGCATGCCGACCGTAAAACAGAATAGGTCCACGACGATGGCAGCCGATGAAGGGGTCGTTTGACCCCCCGCGATCTCGTGTCACCGTGACCTGCGCGGCACCGCTTGGTCACGCTGACCCCCGACCTCTGACCTGGCACCGACAGAGGGCGGGGACAGAGACGGCCGGCCACAGAGGCAGCGTGACGGCTGAACACGGCACGGTTGAGGCAGACCCGTGTAGCAGAGAGTGAGACGCGGCGAGGCGATAAATCATATTTCCGCGGGGTGTCTGGCACCGTGTCTCAGAGAGCGGCGGGCGTCCGAACCATGGCGCCGGCTGCGAGCCGCGGACAAGCTTGACCAAATCGAGCCGTGCGGAATGTGGATAGCGCCGGCCCAAGACTCTGCCCGAGGCCAGGTTTGTCTGAGCCGGCCCAAACGTCAGCTCCGAGTGGGTCGATTCGGACGCGGGCGAGAGTGCGTGGTACAACTGGCGTCGCTTTCGGTACAAGGGAATTTTTCAAGACGTATGTACAAAACTGATGCTCTGCAGCTCTATTTATCGAGCATGCCTGTTTCTGGTTCTTATAAACAGCTTAGTTTTCATCACCGCTATGGTGGTAAAACATAAGCAGGACAGCACATCCATACGTGTAGCGAGCCTAAGAAGCTTCCCTCTGTCTTTCTGCATTGCTAAACACCCTCACTGGCGTGCGGGGTTCGCAGGTCTCAGTCAGTGTGCCCGTAAAACCGCCTGCCAACTTTAGTTCTCCGAGAACGAAGAATTTGGGCAGGCGTAATTCCAAAAAGCGTGTCTCCGACCCCGCGCAATGCCATGCAGGTGAAATATTCCTGGTTTGCACATTTTCCTGCGGTTCACAGGGTTACCTAACCTGGGATGCGTGGATGAGAGGCTTCTGCCACGCAGACCTGTGGCTTGATCCCCCGGGAAGTCGGAGTTCACTACGAAAGACTGAGATGTGCACCTTTCAAGCGCATTTGCAAAGTAGCATACATACATTGTGCAGAGGCGAACCCGGGTGAACAATAGACCATTAGCGTCAATTTTCCTGGGCAATTGGCCATTTGTTGGATGGATAACGTGCTTTGCTGAACATTCCTTGAGTGTTATATTTCATCACATTGCATATGGCAGACTCAGTCTAGCATGTGGAGGAAGCTGCCATACATTGTGCTACCTAAAAAGTGTGTGCTACTTATGTCACTGGCATGCCCAGAGAACAAATCATAATTACTTTCCTTGTGATAGCTCTCCTTATTGAAGATGGAGAAAGTAAAATCCTTGGTTAAGCTGGTAACAAACGTGTGCACGATGCTCAGATTTGACGCATGGTGTCTATTTATGTCCTAGAGCGGCGGAGACAGATTTTCCATCTTGATTGTACGAACTGAAATATACCTCACACCGCACAATGACCGCACTCAGCGCGGGTGGCCATGACAAGGGCAACCTGTGGCCACCTGTGATAAGCCCTTGTACTCTGAAAGCCTGAAACAATACGTGCATTGTACGAGTGCTAAGAACAGAAATCAACAGCGAAGTAATGCGCCAATGTACTTCACAGTTTAGATGACCTGAGCGCGTCTCTGCCCGAGATCTGTGAGCATACAACATTTTTGATGTAGTTGAGTGCATGGATGTATCTGCGATCTTAAGTTTACCACTGCAACGGAAGTATAGCCCAAAATCTTGCGTTTTTACCCTTGACACACGGAACGCTGCCTCCCAAAACAACGGCCTGTGCCCGGCCGATTTTTCCTGTTTTGACACAACGCATGTTTGACGATTCGATTCTGTCACGCAATGTCGAGACGCTACGACGACTGTTTCAGGAGCAGCAAACAACAAAATGCAGGCGTACTCACTGGAAAGGGTTAATCAGCCGCTTGCAAGAAATAGGGTTAATCAGGATTATATGATTTCTCTAAAAAAATATGTGGGCAGGAGTGGGCATCGTGTGAGGCAGTGATATGGGAGGAAAAATGGGCCGGCCTTAGTCTGAACGTAAATAACAGCAGATTTCGTGTCCGGAAAACATGTGGCACTAAGTGGATTCCAATGGACATCGTTTTGCTTTTATAGTAGTCCTTTGTCCAGTGATAGTCCTTTGTCTCGTTGAATGCTATAGCCCGAATACCGCTCTCCCAAAACTGTTTGACGACGGAAACTGTACTGTTAACTGATATGAGCTTCAAACTGATCTATCAAAATCGGTTGTGCAACTGGAGCACGTGCCCTTCGGTCTGAGTCAGGGCAATTAAAAATATGCCCTGGTTTTGATAATCAGTGTCGAAACCCCGCTGATGCACTTGCAGTTTCAGTCGGAATCAAGTACAACCCTGACAAGTACTGCCTCAGTATTCCACTTCCAAATAAGACAGCGGTAAAGTGGGATTAAACACAAAAAACGACAGCCGCATGTCTGGTCCTGTACGCATCTACAATGGTATTTATCTCTTATATCTTAGATGAAACTATCACCAGGGAGAAAAGTGCATACAGAAAAAAAATATTGCACAATTTCAAGAAATGCACTATTCAAGCCTAAAATTAGCCTATGTAACCTAGCTTAAAGGTGGGGTGGCTTACAAATGCATGCATATTCAAATTTTGACCTACAGAGGAAAGCAAAACGGTTTCACGCCCGTTTCCCGCCCGTTTTACCGCCTTTTCCGCTTCCGTTTGCGTGCGAACGCTTACAGGTTGTTCAGCAACTATTGGCATATAGTATATGTGGTATATATATAGTATAGTACATGACTTAGTAAGACACGCACCTGCGAAAGAAAGCTTGTGCTCCAACTACCAGGAGATCGTGTTCATTCTGCTTTCGTGAATTACTGTAGAACTAAGCGCACACACAAGCCTGTAGTTATCTAACAACTTAAACATCATGTTTATCATGTGTTCATAGTGTTCATCGCCATAAGTACACTGCTGAATGAATAATTCACCGCCTAGTTGAATATCTTGTTCATCCTGCTTGTGTCCAAACGACATAAACATTGTACTGAAATATTGTCAAAATATATCGTCGAAATAGCCACGCAGGCATAAGCTAACAGACTTACGCTTCTTTAGCCTTTGAATGTTTTCAGTTTTATCGCCTCAGGTAAATCAACCATTTTCCAGATCAGGTTATCAAACAGCCTGTTTTTGAACAGCACCTTCGCCAGCGCCAGTTTGCAGGCTGATGACAGTTGGCTTCCTTGTTTTTTGTGTTGTATCCAGGCAGATAGAAATGATTGAAACAATGACTGCAAAACACCCCAGACTTCAAGATATATATCAACCAAGTTTTGTTTCATGTGGACCTTTTTTACCTCAGCAAACCAGCAAAAAGTCGCGAAGTCCGTTATTAAATACTAATCCGCTGCAGCACAGAAGCACAACACAAATATTATTGCCAAGTGGCACACATACAAACAAGCCCGTCCGTAGCGCTCAACAGTAGCACTCAGCTGCAACCTTGGTACTTAGCTTAACATTTCTGGAATCATTATACCCTCTACAACAGCCACAGTATTCGTGACCCGACTCGTTTAACTTATCCATGCGGCATTAAAAACTTGGAATTTTAGAAATCATCAACAGCACGCGAACCATGCATGGCAAAAACTCGGATACTAACCCGGCATGACAGTAAAAAGCTAACTGCGGGCGGCACTGCGCAGCTGTGGGCGAGGTTAATGAGGTGAAGGGGCCAAGTGACGAAGCGTGTACCTGCATTCAGAGGCTGAAATTGCACATGCAATCAATCTCCCATCCCGCCGCCGCCGTGACGCAACGGCGAGCGGTGTGGTAAACAGCCGGCTCCATCGAGACCGCGTGGGAAGGTGCCGGCTGCGGCAGGATTTCAGCCGAACAACACGCCGCGACACCGCCGCCGACGCCGCCTTCCCACGTCCGCGGTCGGCACAGGTCCTGGCCTCAGCTGTGGGTGTGTCCCGACGGCCCGCCGCTGGTCGGGCGTGCGAGGTGGCTGGATGACAGGGCTGGGCTCCGGGGTGGTGACGCCCCTACTCAGCGAAAGCAGTGAGCGTCGGAGTGGTGGCGGCCACCGGCGAGGCTGCGCTTTGGCGATGTGTGTGCACGAAAATAAACGGAGATGATGATGGTGATGATGATGATGATGATGGTGGTGGTGTTGATGGTGATGACGACGACGACGATTGATGATGATGGTGATCACGACGATGATGGTGATGACCATGCTGGCAATGATTCAGCCCGTCAGTTTCATGATGAGCGGGATTAAGGGCTAATATTAGGTTGTATAATATGTGCGATCTACCTGCAAATCCGAGGCACATCATTGCGAAATAATTGGTAGCAGCTGATACCAATGAAAGGTGATACATGGACGCCTGCATGTGCATGCATGCGGAATCTTTTGACACGAGTTCGTTAAGTGGTCCCTGATAACGCCTCAAGCTTTTTGGTAATACCGTTCATCCCGTGGCACCTTGTACGGTCAGCGTACAATGCGATGACTACGGACTCTGCAGACAGCACCGCGGGCAATGTTCCTGACCCCGGGGGGCTCTAGAGGCTGTTAAAGAGCCTGAAGCCACGAGGCTGCAGCCGTGCGTCGCCCATTACGGTGCTATGACGACAAGCCTCTTGGGCGTGCCCGGAGACGCTGCAAGATCTACGAGAAGGCCAGGGGAAGTATACTCCAGACTTAACAGCAAATCCAGCAAGACCAGGGAAGACCTAGGTAGTGCTTATCTCCCGCTGGCCCCGCGGTTACGTCAGAACTTTGCAGCATTGTTTATGGCGTGTGACAAAGCGTTTGGCAAAACCAAAGACGCCTATGTAAAACAGAATACCAAGCCGCAAGTTTCCATGCGTTGATTCGATAAACAATGTTTGATGCAAACAGGGGACCGGAATTGCTTTATTTGGAAAGTTGGCCGAAACGGAAATAGAATCCCAGACGGTCATAAGGCCTAAATAACATTAAGACCTGATGCGATCGAAGTGCTTTTGTTGAGTCAGGGATCGCAAGTTGGCTAGAATTCCGAATGGTTGTAGAATCTGGGTAACCCAAGATGCACCGGGAACGGTCGTGCTGAGACGCCACGAGGTCATGTGAGGTCACGGAGACAGCTGCACATGCTGAAAGTGCTTCGGAGCTACCACTTGTTCAAACACCTTAATCGTTATGAGGCCTGCAAGTGACTCCATTGCGATCGGATTTGATCACACAATCTATTTCATTTTGGATTTCATCCTTTGCTCTTCACTGGATTCGGATTCCGCTGTACTGTCTACTCGGCTGAATCGGACTCGCAATGGATTCGAGCGGTTTGAAAAAAATCATGACTAGTTCTGCTTGGCTTTAAGAATGTTTCATCAAAGCAATGATTCAACCACCTTCCTGGATTTTTGCATGGTCCGCTAGACACTGCATAAGTGGTCTGCCACTCGACCAGCACGTGCATCCGGTCTGCCTATCCCCTGTTTTGCTTGATCCTGCATCCTTGCGACGGCCCGCTTGTCGAGGGCAGGCATGTGCGTCAGCCACGAGTAGGCCTAGAGTGACCCTGGAGAAGGACTTCGACCGGATGGCCAGCGCGCACCCCGCACAGGGTCCCTGCGCGGGCTAAGGCCTTAGCGGTTCTCTCTCCCCCCCCCCCCCCTAGGCGCATGTGGTCCTGCCCCAAACGTTATTTATTTTCCTTCAGCCCATAACCCTGAAATGACGATTTCTGGCCGAAAGGGCTCTAATTCAAACAACCAAACCAAACCAGCATGTGCTAAATAGCATAAAAAGAAGTAGTAGCTAAGTAGTAAAATATATCCACGTTGCATCCAATAAAACTGTAAAAGGTAACATGGATATTCTTTAAATACATACACCATTGATGGCAATATGGGGTGTCCGGGTAAGTGTTTGAGTTGTGAAAGCTCAGAAGTTATTAGTTTTGTCGGCAGTGACTTTGTCATAGTGCCTTGAACTTGAAGCAAATATGTTATCACTTATGCATGGGAACATAAAATTGTGAGTCGGCATTCGAAACAGCAATAGTTACTTTGTCCCATGATGCATGATACGTGATGCTACACGATATACACGACACATGCATGATAATACCTGATAAATTATACTTGATATACATGAGATACATGATAATAACTTCATGCTGCGCTATCAGTTACAGTCAGCTGAAAAGGTGCAATATCTGTTGAATCATATTTGTGAATATACGCACACAATTTGAAGATGCATTCAGACATGAGATGCATATGTATTTCTTCACTTCCTGCTCTTTTTTGAAAAGCACAAGCGCTATCCGGATTTCGAAACAGATCCATGAATCGAACAAATCCTGATGTAATGTCCAGATTCGGTTACAATTGATAACAGTTCTTTGGATCAGATTCAGCTTTGGTTCTTTTTGCTTTGGTTCAAATTTGGAATGATGCTACCCTAGTGCAACCTAGCATAAGTCCGAATTGGTCACAGGTTCTTTTATAATGGCTTTGCCTGACGAATGTCTCCTGCTGTCGCCCACATACGATCAGCCATGCTTCGTTATCTGCAAAGTTCGTGTTCAAAGCCAGCTGTTGAAAGACATCGTTCCGATGCAGAAGGAGAGATATCACGTGACATTTCTGGGTGGCATTCATGCACGGGTGGTTTTCATACGCAGCTCACCAGATACCCAAGCAGACGCAGACATGCCGGAAAAAACTTGTGCGATTGAAGCCGAATACAGCTTTAGAGCGCTCTTCACTGCTGCCACCTGCCAGGCGTCGGCAGTGTAGGTCGGCCACGGTTCGGCTTCACGAAATACTAAATAAAAACGTATTTACCCCGCAGGGACCAAGGCTTCAAACTCCGGCGCAAAGTGTGTCTTCGGGCGCGTGCACCGTGCGTTGACCTGCCAGCCATCTGTCTGGTCTCGCTACCAAAGCCTCACAGCGAGTGAACCGCCACCGACTGAACCGGTGGGCTCTTGTGGCTGAGCACAGGTCCCCACCGCGAGCCCCGGCGCCCGAGCGTCGAGGTTGCGGGCGCCCCGGAGGTTGCCACGCGTGGCTCCAGGTGGTCCCGCTACACAAAAGACAGGAGTCTCCGCGACGGCGTCCGCCGCAGCTGAATATGCATCAGACGGGCCGCGCCGCCCACATCTCCCGTTCGCGTGAGCGCTTCGTGGTCGACGCACGCCTGATGGGAGACGACCTCGCGGCCGACGCACGCCTGATGGGAGACGACCTCGTGGCCGACGCACGCCTGATGGGAGACGACAGAGAGCGCTGATGGCCGCCGAACGTGGGTCGGTGTCTGAACAACCTAGATCTTTAGGAGTTGAAATTGGCGTAAGTGCCAATTCCCCTTACGGTCACGGCCCTGAAAACCCGCAGTTACAAACTGTTGCATGGGTGGCGGAGCACTGCCGCCGAAACTCCTGAAACTCCTGCCGACAGGCAGGAGTGGCAAGAGCATGTTTTTCCCCTATTTTTGGAGAGTCCATTATTCCTAAATTAAAGGCGCCGTAGCTATCCGTAGAGTGCCAAAGTTCAAATCAAGGTGGCCGTCATAAATGAGCTGGAGGGAAATAGATCGGGTTCAGAAAAGCCTTTGCTATATCCAGAGACCCCTTTTCTGGATTGTGAGGCCACCTTGATAAATAAAATGGTTATTAGTCGACGCGAACTAGATCAGAGGTCCAATGTTATGTCAAGAACGCCCTTTACTCAGCAGGCCCTGTTACACACTAGGAGGCCCGTGTTTTGGATTAGGCCCTTCATTTCCAGGATTCAATTTTGGAACAGGAGACCATTTCAAGCATCCAATGGCCGCGGTTCCGGGTCAAGCCGCCCTTTTTTGGGATAGCGAGACCCTTTGGCTAAATCTGGCCGCCCCCTTCGTGATTAAGAAGGATCCTGATCCTGTTCTGGATTAGAAGGCACCCCTACAGATATCGCGAGGCCGTTCTCTGAAACAGCAGGTCTATTTAGGTTAGCAAGACCCTTTGCTGGATAGTTAGGAAGTCCCATTTTGGCTTTTAACTGCCAGCAATTCATTACCTGGATATCATATATGTAACAGTTTGACAATGCGGCACATGCCCTCTGCGTTCCTTCCTTTTGTATACGGCATTGTGCAGCGGGCACCCAGTGAGACAGGCCCCTTGAAAATCCTGACCCCATCTCCATATCCGTCACGCTGCCTATCAATTCAATTCGCTCGCACTTCTTTAGTCGTCAGAGATACAATATCGTGCAAAATAGCCCCCCCGCCAACTCAGCTGTTACGCCAATCAGCCGAGATGAAACAAACAGATATGTTTTCAAAAAATCTGGCGTGGTATCTATTCGCCATTGCCCTTTGGATAAGGCTTATCGGAGCTGGAACTGCTGTTACACACCGAAAACCAGGAGCTTGTCATGAGTAGTGCGTACCCACTCACTGGGTTCCAATCTAAGCGCGCAACACTCGTTTTGGGGGGGTACAGCCGGCGGATAGCAGGTTGATATTGACCCTCTGCCATTTAAAATCTAAGGTGAAGTTTAAAAATATCCACAAGATGTCGCCACGCTGTTTATTTACATCGGATCAGCTGCTGCGTTGCAGCGGTTGCAGTGCAGATTTGTGCCTTCGTGTCGTTGCACTCTAGATTTTTACGGGTTGGAATCCCGCGCGACGTGCGATGTTCAGTATTGACGTGTTAAAACCCTGGGTTTGTCGCTCTGCAGCTGTTAGCGAAAGTGGTAAATTGGGTCCAAGTTTTTTATTTTGTGGCGATAAGGGACCGAAGTTTGTCAAGTTGCTCTGTTAGGCCAGCTTACTTGCGAGCGAAGTTGTTGGTCACTTGCTGTCTATATCGCCCTTTGCTGGGTACTTCCTCATCTCAGAGAAAGAAGGGCCGCAAGAGCTACAGGTGACCAGAAGCCCAGACTACCCTTTGTGCAGGTAGGTAGCTAGGTACACTTCCAAAAATTTGATATTACCTTATGATGGTATTGCCTCCTCTTCTCTCAATTTGCATGACAAAGCTTGTATAGCAATGGATGGACAATGATGAGAGTAATACCTGTTCAGACTTTTTCACCAGTACATTGTCATTATGTGGGAAATCACCTGCTTTTATATCATTTTATTTGATGGTACTGTCATGATGACAGTGCTGAACAGAACAAATGGACTGAAGATGCTGTCTGGATGCCAGCTGTCTTGACCAATCATCGGGTGGTCCTCAGCTTTGTGCTCAGTGACAGCTTGCCCCATTATTCTACCTCACACTAAATAAGTCCTATCAACTTAGCAGTTAGTTAAGCTACTCAATCACAGTTTCCTGAAATGCTTCACTCCCTTTTTGTTGCCAAAATTTCAGAATGGCTATTCAATATAACATTAGGGTAATTGTTGCTTAGATAAAGCAGCATTCTATTTTATTGACCACAGAGTTGTTTACATAGGCTTGCTGCCTGCCTGTGTTGTGGATGTGCATGCTATTGGAAGGAAACAGTCTTTGCACAAGTTTTCACCTGCATGTTAAGGAATGAAAGAGATTGTTATATCTGGGATGAGGAGGATGGGAGGATGTAACATGTGGGATTTGATTCATTAGCATGTGGCTCTTGACATCAAGTAGCACAAGACCATCAAGTCTGGTAGGTAACATCAAGTAGCTGGTTGGGTAATGTCAAGTAATAATTGTTTTTCCAACTTCAGATGGTAGTAAGCATACAATCCTGGTAATTTGGTCTCCTGAAAATAGTAATGAGCCAAGCTTATTGTGTCTATTGAATGTATTTTATCCCAGTCAAATTCAACAAATCACTTCTATTCTTGGATGCTGTTAGCACCATGGCCTCCGCTAACTGTCCCATACTGCTGGACTGTCGCACACAGACCAGGCAATTTGCACTCATTGTACTGCTGTGCCATTTTCTCTCTCCCATGCCAACACCATCACCAGCACACATTCCCTTCTGATGTCTGCTCCTGCCAACAGCGGAGGCTGCCTCGGACGTGTGCTGGCCGCGTGGGCGGAGTTCTCAGCGGGAGTCGGCCGCGCCCCTGACGGGCCAGCTCCTGAGCCGAGACCCCACCAGCCATGTACAGTGGCCTGCACGCCGAGGCGCCGGCCTCCTCTCCGCTGCGGCGGCGGCGCCAGCGACTCGGCCGCCGCCTCTTCTCGCTGTCGCTCTCGTCAGGTCAGTCGGAGGCGGCCGCGCTCGCGGGTCAAGTCAGGTTAAATCTGCTCGTGCTGTCGCTCTCGTCAGGTCAGTCGGAAGCGGCCGCGCTCGCGGTTCAAGTCAGGTCAAGTCCGCCCTTGCTGTCGCTCTCGTCAGGTCATTCGGAGGCAGCCGCGCTCGCGGGGCAAGTCAGGTTAAGTCTGCTCTCGCTGTCGCTCTCGTCAGGTCAGTCGGAGACGGTCGGGCGGCCCGCGGGTCAGGGCAGATCAGGTCTGTTCTCGATGTTGCTCTCGTCAGGTCAGTCAGAGGCGGCCGCACGGCTCGCGGGTCAGGTCAGGTCAGATCAGGTCTGTTCTCGCTGCCACCCTCGTTAGGTCAGTCGGAGGCGGTCGGATGGCCCGCGGGTCAGGTCAGGTCAAGTCTGCTCTCGATGTTGCTCTCGTCAGGTCAGTCTGAGGCGGCCGCGCGGCTCGCGGGTCAGGTCAGGTCAGGTCAGGTCTGTTCTCTCTGTCACCCTCGTCAGGCCAGTCGGAGGCGGCCGCGCGGCTCGCGGGTCAAGTCAGGTCAGGCCAGGTCTGTTCTCGCTGTCACCCTGTTCAAGTCAGCCGGAGGCGGCCGCGCCTCTCGCAGTTCAGCAGAGCAAGCCTGCGTGTCGTCCGGCCGGCAGGTTTGTCGGGGCTTCAGGCAGGTCGTAGTCTCGTCGCGCGAGTAGGGCCTCTCGTCAGTGGGCGGGGTTCTCGCCGGCGGCTGCCACCGGGTCGGTGTAGCTCTGGTCACCGCTGTCAGTCCGCCGGTCAGTCCGTCGGCACCCCCGTCAGGTCAGCGGGCCAAGCGTCAGGCCCGTGAGGCGCGCAAAGTGCGTTCCTGCGAGAAGGCGCGGTGACCTATCGCGGTCGTACAGCAAACGAAACGCTGCTTCTCGATTCGGGGAGCCATGAGTCAGTCGAACCAATGTGCCAGCCGATCACAATGGTGCTTCTTCATCTTTTGCACGCTTGGTCCGGAGCTGACCCACCCCAGTGATCTGGGGCCTTCGACCACGCTTTAAGAAGGCAGAGGAGAAACAGTGTTGCGTGAGTTAATCGCGCTCGGGTGGGGGTCTGATTTACCCCCCCCCCCCCCAGAGGTATTTTCCGGAATCGTTTCCGAACGGTGCGGTGTAGCCGCGCCAAATTGTGCATAGCGGTTGAAAATTGAATACCGTATCGTATGATATCAAAAATTTAGATGTCCCTTGTAAGGAGGTCACTGACCGGGAGATTAAAGACGAGCCATGAATTCAGCAAAGTCAATTTGTAGGGAATCGCTCAATCTGATGCAACAACGGAGCATTGGATGAAGCCATACAGCTCTAAAACACTTTCTTAGACATTACAACAATTGAATGGACAAGTTTCATTGACCTAGGGTCGGGCATGAGGGTCGGACCAAGCTCAAAACCAGCCTGTTTTATTACTTAAGGGCTTGTATGGGGTAGTTTCTGATGCTCATTTCGGACTCATTGATAAAAGGAACCCATTTTACGTCCTCTATGAACTGTTTGAAGGTCAGAATAGGTGGCTGACCTAAAATGACCCAGGTCATCATCGTGTGTTTAGCAACACATGCCTAGGGGCATCTTTGTCGTTTGTTCAAACGCAAAACTCAAAGCAGTTTTGTGTGAGTTTTGGTCGCCACGAGCTTCAAACGGTCAGACAAGATCACCGACCTTCGATTAGTGTTTGACCTTTGTCGTAGAACAAATGTCTAAGGTTTTCAGGAATTTCCCTTGTTTGACCGTATTTGACCCTGAAGGTCATGACCTAGGAATCTCAATCTTTGAAAGGTATGCAACCGGCCACCCGGGTGCGCATTAACAACGCCACGCCCAGTAACGAGCATATGTGATTTAGATCTTCCTCTGAAAATGTCGGTCATTGATGTTTTTGTTCGGCGTCCACATGATTACTGGCTCAGGTCCTTGCTGTTTGCATCATCGTATAAGATGGAGTGTTTATTTCCAATAGTCTTATGCCTTAGCCTGACACGTATTACTGAATTACCGTGATCATGTTGGATTGCTACCACAGTTATCTGTCAGGCAGCGCAATTGTCTGGCTCGGCCAGCAGCTGCCGTCAGAGTTCTCTCTGTCTCTCTCTGTCTCTCTCTCTGTTTCTCTCTGTCTCTGTCTCTGTCTTCTGTCTCTTCTCTGTCTCTCTGTCTCTCTGTCTCTGTCTCTCTCTGTCTCTGTCTCTGTCTCTGTCTCTGTCTCTGTCTCTGTCTCTGTCTCTGTCTCTGTCTCTGTCTCTGTCTCTGTCTCTGTCTCTGTCTGCTCTGTCTTGTCTCTGTCTTCTCTGTCTCTGTCTCTGTCTCTGTCTTGTCTCTGTCTTGTCTCTGTCTCTGTCTTGCTCTGTCTCTGTCTCTGTCTCTCTGTCTCTGTCTCTGTCTCTGTCTCTGTCTCTGTCTCTGTCTCTGTATCTGTCTCTGTCTCTGTTCTGTCTCTTGTCTCTGTCTCTGTCTCTGTCTCTGTCTCTGTCTCTGTCTCTGTCTCTGTCTCTGTCTCTGTCTCTGTCTCTGTCTCTGTCTCTGTCTCTGTCTCTGTCTCTGTCTCTGTCTCTGTCTCTGTCTCTGTCTCTGTCTCTGTCTCGTTCTCTGTCTCTGTCTTGTCTCTGTCTCTGTCTCTGTCTCGTCTCTGTCTCTGTCTCTGTCTCTGTCTCTTTCTCTCTGTCTCTGTCTCTGTCTCTGTCTCTGTTCTGTCTGTCTCTGTCTCTGTCTCTGTCTCGTCTCTGTCTCTGTCTCTGTCTCTGTGCTCTGTCTCTGTCTCTGTCTCTGTCTCTGTCTCTGTCTCTGTCTCTGTCTCTGTCTAGTCTCTGTCTCTGTATCGTCTCTGTCTCTGTTCTGTCTCTGTCTGTCTCTGTCTCTGTCTCTGTCTCTGTCTCTGTCTCTGTCTTGCTTGTCTCTGTCTCTGTCTCGTCTCTGTCTCTGGTCTCTGTCTCGTCTCTGTCTCTGTCTCGTCTCTGTCTCTGTCTCTGTCTCTGTTCTGTGTCTTGTCTGTCTCTGTCTCTGTCTCGTCTCTGTCTCTGTCTCTGTCTGTCTTGTCTCTGTCTCTGTCTCTGTCTCTGTCTTGTCTCTGTCTGTCTCTGTCTGGCTCTGTCTCTGTCTCTGTCTCTGTCTCTGTCTCTGTCTCTGTCTCTGTCTCTGTCTCTGTCTATGTCTCTGTCTCTGTCTCTGTCTCTGTCTCTGTCTCTGTCTCTTCTCTCTGTCTCTGTCTCTGTCTCTGTCTCTGTCTCTGTCTCTGTCTCTGTCTCTGTCTCTGTCTCTGTCTCTGTCTCTGTCTCCTCGTCTCTGTCTCTGTCTCTGTCTCTGTCTCTGTCTCTGTCTCTGTCTTGTCTCTGTCTCTGTCTCTGTCTTGTTCTGTCTCTGTCTCTGTCTCTGTCTCTGTCTCTGTCTCTGTCTCTGTCTCTGTCTCTGTCTCTGTCTCTGTCTCTGTCTCTGTCTCTGTCTCGGTCTCTGTCTCTGTCTCTGTCTCTGTCTCTGTCTCTGTATCTGTCTCTGTCTCTGTCTCTGTTCTGTCTATGTCTCTGTCTCTGTCTCTGTCTCTGTCTATGTCTCTGTCTCTGTCTCTGTCTCTCTCTTCTCTATCTCTATCTCTCTCTCTCTTCTCTCTCTCTCTCTCTCTCTCTCTCTCTCTCTCTCTCTCTCTCTCTCCTCTCTCTCTCTCTCTCTCTCTCCCTCTCTCTCTCTCTCTCTCTCTCTCTCTCTCTCTCTCTCTCTCTCTATCTTCTCTCTCTCTCTCTCTCTCTCTCTATCTTTCCTCTCCTCTTTCCTCTCTCTCTCTCCTCTCTATCCCTCTCTCTCTCTCTCTCTATCTCTCTCTCTCCGCTCTCTCTATGACCCCTGCCAAACTGGAGTGTCGCCTCTCCTCACTGCGGCTCCTAGGCGGCGGGCGGCGCCGCTCCCAGCCCTTCGAAACCATGCTGGCGCAGGCGAGGCTGCGGGAAACGGATTGCCCCGCACGCTATTCTGGTCGATGCTACTAATTGTGTAATCAATGCCGGGCGCGGTGATGGATGTGGTAGATGTACAATATGTGGCCGGATGCCGGTGGGCTGTCGACGAGAATGTTGAGCTAGACTTGTTTGCCGCCGCCGTCAAGGGCCGGATGCAGGCGTCGCCGTCATATCTGCACCGCGTCGGGACAGCTGTAATTTGTGCGGATGATCAGACCCGTTCTCACGCCAAAACGAATATCAACAGAACTTGGTAGTGCGATATGCTTTTGCCAACAGAACCCCTCGTTTGTGCAGGGCATTTCGTAATTTTCTGTGATTTTTGTCATGTAAAATGAGCCTATTAAACATACGCTGTTCCTTTTAAGCTTTGTAATTGAGTGGGGTGGTACGCGGTGGGGAACGGTAAACATAAGCTGTTCCTTTTAAGCTTTGTGAATTGAGTGGGGTGGTGCGCGGTAGGGAGTGGGAGAGGGGGGGGGGGGTCGAAAGCATAGTCCTTGCTAAGCACAGTTTGTAGCGGAGATGCTACCTGCCGGGTGGGTCACGTGAGCTCGGTGGGTGCGAGGCGAGCCAACATGCCTCTCACACCGGTCAGGGATCGGCCGCAGCGGCACTCAGCCACGCCATTCTCATTGACATGCCGACATGCCTCTCACGCTGGCCAAGGATCGGCCGCAGCGGCGCTCAGCCACGCCATTCTCACCGACATGCCGACATGCCTCTCACACTGGCCAGGGATCGGCCGCAGCGGCCCTCAGCCACGCCATTGTGTCGCATCCACACATCTGTCAAGCGTCTGGCACTGATTGTCGCATTACCTGCCTCGACTAATGCCGCTTATGAAGAAGCGTGTGTCCTCGCTGTCTCCGGTAATGTGGCGAGTGAGCTGCGACGCCGGCCAAGTCTCAGGCGTGAACGATCATTTCTGTGTCAGTGATGCAGTCGAGCGCATTCGGCTTCGCCCACGCGCCTGTGATTGGTCCATACACTGCGGTAATAGTCCAGCAATACAGATCGTTACCGCC